CTCTGCTCTCCCCTCTCCCTGCACTGCAGGCAGTTGCATGTAAGAAAAGCAATACAGGATTCTGTGTTTCACAAGTGCGATGCAGCTAACCTGCATCGGTTCCAAACACTTGAGGCAGCTACTGCAGGTAAAGGAAAATAAAGTACACTTACCTTGGAAATTTTTTTCCAAGACAGTCCACACATCAGCTTTGTGAGAAGGAAATGGGGTGGCTCAGTACATTGGGAAATGCTTTATAGGCAGCAAAAAACCAAACAAAACACCATCATTGGAAATCAGGGTGCTCCTTTAAAACTCTTAAGGACACAGCTTATAAGACCTACCATTCTCACCAACCTCCCAGCAAGTTTTCGGTTTAGACAGGACAAGTACAGGCTCCAAGACACTGCACAGGCCCTGCCGGCTCCTTTGCAGACGTTGCAGCCAACTTTTTCCCACCTACACAGAGCGTCAGGTGGAAAACTCTCAGCAGTACTTTTTTATACTTCTTCATAAAGTTGAGTTTAAATTCCTGGATATACAGAAAAAGCCTATAGGAAACAATTGATGAAAATGGATGATAAACCTGCACCAGCTCAAATGTACCCAGACTACCACAAAAATCATCAGAGGTAACGAAATAAAAGCAGATATATCAACCAGGTCATTGCTGTTGGAGGTCACCCTAAATTCTGCCGATTTTAACTTTTTATTTCTTAATGAGACAGCAGGGAAAAGCAAGACTAAACAGCCGAACTTAGACGCAAAGTTAGATTAAAGAGGATTTTGGAGCAAATCATGTTTGGGTTTCTGACATTTTATTAAGGCTTATTTAATGTTTCCAGAAAGGCACAGTCGCTAGGAAGCCTTGATGGCAGGAATGCTGACCAGTGACCGCTGTGGTCAGGGTCTCCCCCTGCCGTGCTATGAGTTCTTCTTGACAGTCCATCATTTACAGGTTTTCTTTCTATAGATGGTAGAACCAGTAAGAATAGCAAAACTGGCAACTACGGCTCCAGTAGCAGCAATAACTACTTTTTTGACCTATAAATGGAAAGTAAAACACAAGCTGAAAATTTGATGATCACTTGTATTTACTTGCCCCTTCATGATAATGTAGAAATGCCAGGAACAATCAGGGTAAATAAATCAGGGAGAGTCTGTGCCATCAGCAGAGGGGTAACACCCAGGTCGGTAGCCCTAGGAGGTGNCCTCCGGCCACCCGCCAGAGCCGCGCCCGCCGCCGGCAGCCTGCAGGGACCGATTCCAGGGGGAAAAAGCCCGTTCGCAGCCCTGCAAATCCGCTCACCCCTGCGCCTGCCCCACTGCTGCCGCGGCCAAGATTCCGGTCTATGCTCCCGCTATAAATAGTCTTGTAGAGGCGTTTGGGCAGTCGTTCCGGGGTCACTGCCTCTCCTGCCCCGGAGCTGGTCGTCTCGCAACACCCATTCCCTACAGCTGGAAAACTTCACTCCAAATATACTGCCAAAACCACGTGTCGAACGGATAACACGATTTTGTTGCCGAGGAAGTGTGGCCACCACCTTATTATGGGAAGACTCTATCCCTTTGCCATCCTCCTATCCAGTGATCAGCAACAGCCCTGCCCCTGCGCCCTCTCACTCTGCTGGACGTTGTCTTGCACATCGACAACCACTGGATCATGCCTAAAACCTGACTTGGCTACCAGTCAAACAGTTGGTACCAAAAGTTGCAGAGGATGCTGAAGAGGGATCCCAAATGGCCTCGTGTAAACGCAGAAGACTTCGCAGCAAAAAGCTGATGCATTAGATGTATGTTAACCCCACCTACAAATACAGTGAAGGATACAAGGTTGCACAATGTTTTGGCTTCCCAGGCTTGCACTGAATCAGCCCAGGTTTTCATCCTCTGATGTGCACCTTCTTCAAATGGTTGAAATCTCTGCAAAAGCCCCTGCAAGTTTAGGGACAGTCTGTGCCCGTTCCCTGATCATAATCAAGGGTATTTCTCTTGGGTCTTGGGAAACGAGCAGCCTTGACTCCATTCCATGGCATCTGCAGGTCTCAGGCCTTGCCAGTATCTCCTAAAAGCCTCCAAATGCAGCAAGTGATGGATTCTGCTGCTCTTCCTCACACTCTCACCACATATTTTGGGCAGTGATTCACGAAATCCTGTCAAAGCATCCACCAGGCTCCATGGAAAGGCAGCCCCATAATGAGCAACATCACCCTGACTGCAAAGAGAAGCACGGTACAAATGCAGACTGCCACATTCCTTGAAATGCTACAGCTTAGAGGAACAGCAAGACATTCCCCAAAGGAAGTAATTCCAGTATTCTTCTCTTAGAGGACAGTACAGAGATGTGAGAGGTCCATACTCTGCTCTCACAGAGTGCTCCCTTAGCAGTGTGTGGAGACAGAATGCTCTGAGTACAGAAAGGTAAAATTCATGGGTTGCTCTATAACCACTTAATTAGGCAAGAAATAAGATTTTATTCAATTTCCAGGAATACAAAAATGAGTTTCAGTTTCATTTTGATTATAACCTGCTTTCCTGTACTGAAACGAAGGGCTTTCTTCAGATGTAATAACAATGGGCTCTACAAAATAACAGGAAGCCTTGGATTGGTTATTTCAAGCCTCGTGAAACTGCCATTTAAAAAAGTAGTGAATTAATTTTTTGTTTTGCTTTGCTTGCTTGCACAGCTTTTGATACACCTACTAAACCACCTTTTTCTCAAGATACCAGTTCTTCACTTCAACTCTTCTGATTCCATTCCTGATGGGGCTGGCAGGGGAGGGAATGAGTGAGTGGCTGCCCGATTCTTTGTTGCTGGCTGGGGTTAAACCAGGACAACCTGTTCAGAACAGACAAAACCAGCCAGCCTCTCACACACAGCTGCTCTGCTCTCCCCTCTCCCTGCACTGCAGGCAGTTGCATGTAAGAAAAGCAATACAGGATTCTGTGTTTCACAAGTGCGATGCAGCTAACCTGGTTCCAAACACTTGAGGCAGGTAAAGGACAATAAAGCACACTGTTCCCTGAACAGTTTTTTTCCAAGACAATCCACACATCAGCTTTGTGAGAAGGAAATGGTGTGGCTCAGCACATTGGAAAATGCTTTGTAGGCAGAGAAAAACTAAGCAAAACACCATCATGCTGAAATCAGAGCACTTCTGTAAAACTCTGAAGGATATAGCTTATAAGACCTACCATTCTCACCAACCTCCCAGGAGTTTCTCAGTTTAGGCAGGACAAGTACAGGCTCCAAGACACTACATAAGCCCTACCTGCTCCTTTGCAGACATTGCAGCCAAGGCTTTCCCACCTACATAGAGCTTCAGCTGGAAAACCCTCTGCAGTACTTTTTTTGACTTGTTCAGAATGTTGAGGTTAAAATCATGGATATACAGAAAAAGCCTATAGGAAAAAACTGATGAAAATGGATAATAAACCTGCACCAGTGCAAATGTACCCAGACTACCACAAAAATCATCAGAGGTAATGAAATAAAAGTAGACATAGCAACCAGGCCAGTGCTGCTGGAGGTCACTTTAAGTGATGCCATTCCTGACTTTTTATTTCTTAATGAGATAGCAGGGAAAAGCAAGGCCAAGCAGTTGAACTTAGATGCAAAGTTATACTTAGATACAAGAGGATTTGCGGGCAATTAAAGTTTGGGTTTCTGACATTTTATTAAGGCTTATTTAATGTTTCCAGAAAGGCACAGTCGCTAGGAAGCCTTGATGGCAGGAATGCTGACCAGTGACTCCTGTGACCAGGGGCTCCCCCTGCCGTGCTATGAGCTCTTCGTGACAGCCCATCACTCGCAGTTTTTCTCTTTACTGGATGCGCCAGAGAAACCCTTCACAACAACAGCAGCAAGACCAGCAAGAATGATCCCTCCTACAGCTGAAGCGGTATAAACAACTGCTTTTTTGACCTATAAAAGGAAAGTAAAACACAGGCTGGAAACGTGATGAGCACTTGTATTTACTCCCCCCTGCATGATAATGTAGAAATGGCAGAGACAATCAGGATAAATAACTCAAAGGGAGGCATGTGCCCCATCAGCAGAGGGGTAACACCCAGGTCGGTAGCCCTAGGAGGTGTCACTCAGTGAGAGGGCAGTGTCAGGGTGCAGACAGAGCAGAGTGACCCTGCAGCTGCAGGGGCTCTGGGGAGGCCAGAGGCAGCGCTGGTTTGGAGCCCACGCCTGCCACTGGGCTGTGCCCATGCAGGCTGCAGGCTGTGTGCCAGTCCCGCGGCTCCCAGCGAGCAGCCAGGAGCTGCTCTGGGAGGCACCCAGGGGCTCCCCCTGTGACACTCACCTGGTCAGAGACTGCCTCTCCATAGCGGAGCTTTGTCACAAAGTGCTCACAGTTGCTGTCAATCAGATCATATGGCACCTCCTTGTCAATCCATTGCTCAGCCTTCCGGATGATCTCCTTCACGGGGCGAGGAGTGTGGGAGCGGTCATGCTTGTTGTTTACTCGCCATTTATGATTTTTCACCACCTCTTTCAGGAGCTGCTTCTTCACCTTGGCCTTTCTGGTGAATATTGATGTGGTGCTCACTGACAGGGATGGGGCTCCTTCATCTGGGGAAGGCAGCAAGGAGTTACGGTAGATATGCAGATCCTCTCTGGCCCCTCCAGGACCACAGATGGGTTTCTGATTGTTCCTGGAAAGGTCATCTACACACGCAGGGTCAACCAGCACCAGCCCATGGAGGGAGACAAGGCACCAGGGGGATCCCATTCGGCACCCTGCCAGGTGGCATCAGACTTACCTACAGGTGTCACGTTGATGACATATCCATCCCCCACGTAGAGGGCCCAGTGCTGGTAAACACGCCGGTCGATCTCGATCAGGTCCCCAGGCTGGGG